CCCTAACCCTACCCTGGTGCATACTCCCAACCCTAATGTAGGACTCAATTACCAATGAAAGACCGCGATTTTGAAAAAGCACTGCTTGAGTAGCTTTTTCTGCGCACCTCATCTTTTCTGCCAATCCAAACACTTTCCAACCATCAAAATCATGCCAGGACACCAATTTGGTCAAACCCTAACCCTACCCTGGTGCATACTCCCAACCCTAATGTAGGGCTGAATTACCAATGTAAGACAGCGATTTTGAAAAAGCACTGCTTGAGTAGCTTTTTCTGCGCACCTCATCTTTTCTGCCAACTCTAAACACATTCCAACCATCAAAATCATGCCAGCACACCAATTTTTTCTAACCCTAACCCTACCTTGCTGCATATTCCCAACCCTAATGTAGGGTTCAATTACCAATGAAAGACAGCGATTTTGAAAATGCACTGCTTGAGTAGCTTTTTCTGCGCACCTCATCTTTTCTGCCAACTCTAAACACATTCCAACCATCAAAATCATGCCAGGACACCAATTTGGTCTAACCCTAACCCAGCCCTGGTGCATACTCCCAACCCTAATTTAGGGCTAAATTACCAATGAAAGACAGCGATTTTGAAAATGCACTGCTTGAGTAGCTTTTTCTGCGCATCTCATCTTTTCTGCCAACTCAAACACATTCCAACCATCAAAATCATGCCAGGACACCAAGTTTGTCTAACCCTAACCCTACCATCGTGCACACTCCCAACCCTAATGTAGGGCTCAATTACCAATGAAAGACACCGATTTTCAAAAAGCACTGCTTGAGGAACTTTTTCTGCGCACCTCATCTTTTCGGCCAACTCTAAACATATTCCAACCATCAAAATCATGCCAGGACACCAATTTTTTCTACCCCTAACCCTACCCTGGTGCATACTCCCAACCCTAATTTAGTGCTCAATTACCAATGAAAGACAGCGATTTTGGAAAAGCACTGCTTGAGTAGCTTGTTTTGGGCAGATCATGATTTCTGCCCACTCTGAACACATTTCAACCATCAGAATGATGCCAGGAGACCAATTTTGTCTAACCTTAACCCTACCCTGGTGCATACCCCCAACCCTAATGTAGGGCCCAATTACCAATGAAAGACCGCGATTTTGAAAAAGCACTGCTCGAGTAGCTTTTTCTGCGCACCTCATCTTTTCTGCCAATCCAAACACTTTCCAACCATCAAAATCTGGCCTAGGACAACAATTTTGTGTAACCCTAACCCTACATTGGTGCATACTGAAACCCTAATGTAGGGCTCAAGTACCAATGAAAGACAGCGATTTTGAAAAAGCACTGCTCGAGCAGCGTTTTCTGCGGACCTCATCTTTTCTTCTAACTCTAAACACATTCCAACCATCAAAATCATGCCAGGTCACCAATTTGGTCTAACCCTAACCCTACCCTGCTGCATACTCCCAACCCTAATGTATGGCTCAATTACCAATGTAAGACAGCGATTTTGAAAAAGCACTGCTTGAGTAGCTTTTTCTGCGCACCTCATCTTTTCTGCCAACTCTAAACACATTCCAACCATCAAAATCATGCCAGCACACCA